TTTAACCCTTGAAATTCTCTAATTACAGTTTCAAAGGGCAGTGATAATTACTTACAGTGACCAATCAGCAAGCACTTATTAATCACCTACTATGTGCCAGGTACTGTGATAGGCACCAGAAATACAAAAAAGACAAATGAAATGAACCATCTCTGCCTTTAAGGAGTTTACATTCAATAGGGGAAAACGTGTGTGTGCATGTGTGCGTGTGTGTGTGTGCATGTGTGCCTGTGTGTGTGTGTGTGTGTGTGTGTGTGTGTGTGTATGGCAATTTTAAGGCAACTTCAGGCAGGCAGGGGAAATCATAGGATTATAACTTTACAGCTAGAAAGGAGCTTAGAGGCCATGTAGTCAAACCCCATCATTTTACAAAGAACCTCTGGCCTCTGGAGGTTAAAAGACTTATCTCACAGATGGCAAATGCCAGAGTTGAGACTGGACCTCAGGCTCTCTGACTCTGGAGCCAGTGCACATTCCATTCCCTGTTGCTGCTGCCATGATCAAAAAAGATGATGGAGTTTGAGCTGAGCAATGAAGGAAATGAAAGATTCTAAGAGGAGAAAGTGAGGAGAGATATGTACTTTAGACAGGGGAATAGCTTGCGCCAAAGGTCATAGGAGATGGAATACTGTGTGGGAAGACTTAGCAAGGTCGCTTTGACTGGACCAGAGGGTAGTGAGCGAAAGGAAGTAACTTATAATAAAGCTAGAAAGATAGGTTGATTACAAATTATGAAGTGCTTTAAATGCCAAATACAAGAGTATGTATTTAATTCTAAAAGTAATAGAGAACTAGCAGAGTTTATTGAGTAGGAGAGACACGGTCAGTTCTATGCTTTCGTAATATCACTTGGCAGCTGTGTGGTGGATGGACTGCCGGGGGAAGAGACTTGAGGTAAGGAGCCCAATTAGTAGTCTAAGGCGATTCAGTGGGCCAGAGGTGATAAAGACAGAAACTAAGTGGTAGCCTTATCAGTGGGAAGTATGGGACACATATGAGCTATTGGGGAGGCAGAATTATGACTGATTGATGTTGAAGGAGGAAAAATCAGGAAATAAGGATAAATGACTTTGAGGTTGTAGACGTGGGTGACCAGAAGGATGGTGGTACCCTCAAAAAGCAAAGTTTGAAAAAGGAGTAAGTTTTGGAGTAAATACAACCAATTCTGTTTTGGCATGTTGAGTTTGAGATATTTGGGATGTTTAATTCAAAATGCCCAAAAGGCAGTTGGTGCTCTCTATCAGGAGGGATACTTGGGGTGGATGTGTAGTCCGTGGATGTATAGTCCTGGAAATCATCTGTATAAAGACGCTAATTAACCCCCCATGAGCAGAAGTGATGTCACTGAGTGTGTAGACAAAGGAGAGAAGAGAACCTTGGACACAGCTTTGGAATAGGTTTAGTTGGGAGCATGATATGGATGATAATCTAGCAAAGGAGACTTTAAAGGTAATATAGCTACAATTGTGGCTGCTTAGCCCCTAAGCTGGACCCAGAAATATCAGAGACAAATAAGATCATAACTTTAAAAAAAATTCTAAATTTAACAAACATAATAGCATTTGTATACAGAAAGTAGAACAGAAAAAGATTTATACACGAAACCACTAATTCCTTATATACATTCTTGCTTTTCCTTTTAAACATAATAAACTTAGCGTGTAACATAAGTTACACACTATAGGCAGGCAAAACAAATGCCCACATTGGCCACATCTGAAAAATGTATGTTTTGTTCTGCATCTCAAGTCCATTGCCTCCCTGTTAGAAGGTGGCTATCATGCATCATCATTGATCGTCTATCCTCATTGTTGATCACTGCATCGGAGTTCTTAAGTCTAACATATTTTTCTGTAAAATGTTGTTGTCACTCTATCAAATCTTTTTGGTATCATTCTGCATCAATTGATCTAAGTTTTCCCAGCCTTCTGTGATATCATACATTTGTAACTTCTTATGATGCAATAATATTGTTCCATTTATGTGTGTGTTTAGCCATTCCCCAGTTGATGGGCACCCTCTTTGTTTTCAGTTCTTTGTGATTATAAAAATATCTGCTACATCTGTTTTGTATGAATGGGTCCTTTGGAGTACAGGCTTCAGAGTGCTATCACTTTATCAACTATGCTCAGTTTAGTGACTCTGAGCAAAGTTCCAAATTACTTTCCAGAATGACTGGACCACTTCACAGGTCCACCAACAGTGTGCATTAGTGTATCTCTTTTCCTTCAGCCTCTCTATGTCCTTTCCTTCTAATTTTAACTGCATTGCAGTTGTTGGTGTAAAGCCATTTTAATAGAGAAAGATTACAATATGTTATCAGGACATGGAATTTTTGAAGGCTATTTGAATGGAATATAATCTTTGGGAGGTCCTACTGCCTTTGAAAAAATCAATTACGGGCTAGTGATGGTCTGAAGAGCAACGTAACTAATTTCAGAGAGGTTCATCACCAGGTTGGCTGCAGGAATCAATTCTCTTTCTGTCCCTCTCTTTCTGAATCTCACTACTTGTCAATTCAACAGTTCTGATCTACTGTTTTAAAACTTAGGCAGCTTAGGGGCTCACCACATTGGTACCAGGTGTCTACCTGATCGGCTGTAGCCCCACGGCAGCACAGAACTCCCCACTCAGCCGACCCATCAGCCTCAGCTGCCCCAGTAGCTGGGTTTATAGGCCTGTGGCACCACTTTGCTCTAGACTGACTCTTAAAATGCTCCATTTTATTTTGTGTTTTAAAATACATGGAGGAGAACGTTGTGATCTGCATCAGCAGAGGGTGTATCCCTACTGATAAAGTCATTGATATTGAAGGATTGAGATACTGAATTCTCACAGAAAAGAAAAAGAATAACACATTATTTTTGTGTATTGGTAAGACTATAAGAGAACATGGTATAGTGACAAACCTATGAGATTGGAAGTTAGGGACCTTGGGGTCTGATTCTGGTTATGCTATCTCTGTGACCTCTCTGGTCTCAAACTTCTCATTAGTGAAATGAAGAGATCAGATTAGATAATCTCTAAGATCCCACTCCCTCTACCTCTCAAAACCATGTTTTTTTTTTAGAATTTAGTCACAAACTAGAGCATTTCAAATGTACCATGGCCAGAAATGCAAACTATGTTAGGAAAACCATCAAAATGGTGTTATTTTATGGAAAAACTATGATACAAGTCTAATTGTTTCCTCCTTAAATAACAAAAATTAACACAATTGAGTAAATGCAATAGTCTTAATCTACTCAAAGTGTAGAAATCCTAAAACGAAAAACAAATATCCTATACCAAGTTGACTAGAGATATATCCGAGGTTGGAAAGCTGTTCAAATAAAAATGACATAATTTTGTGATTTTCCCGAGTCTTATTCTTTGAATCAGAGTAGTCTTGTCATTAGGCAGTAAGTACTTGCAGTGGAAGGAAGACTAGATTTTATTAGCAATTGGTATTTTGATTTCATGTTGACAAATTTGGAGTTTTTGTACCTCTGACATTTCTTTCCTTCAAAAAAAAAAAAAGGTCTAAGCTTTGTTAATTGGTCATTGTGAAAATACATCATTTTTTTCCCTGCAATCTCAACAGGCAATAGAAACAAATAACTTGTCCCTTTTGCTGCTATGCTTACCTCTTTTGTATAAGCTCCTATAGTTAATTAATATGATGTAGTCATCTAAGTCATCGAAAGGTAAAACACATAAAACTGACAAGTTGAGATGGAATTAAGTATTAAGTTGCTTATGCTATTTCAATATTTTAAATCATGTTCCTATATCTTAAGGCAAAATGTATTTTTTAATTGCAGCTTCATCAAGGTCCTTAAGGGTACTAAAGAATTCTTCCAGCAACGAGTGGAACAGTGATACTGGAAAAGGAAATTTACTGGATTCTGATGAATGTAGCCTGAGTAGTAGTACGCAAAGCAGTGGTTGTCACACTACAGAGAGTAGACAGGAATCCAAGGATTCGTCCCCTGAGAAGTACCCACAGACGTGTTCATCTGATTTTTCAGACAGTCTTATTAAAGAGTCCGATATTCTGAGTGATGAAGATGATGATTTTCATCAGACTGTGAAAAAGGGCAGCCCTACAAAAGACATTGAAATTCAGTTCCAAAGGCTGAAGATCTCTGAGGACCCTGATGGTGGCAGCACAACTGATCAACAGCCCCAAACGGAAGTTGGAAACAGTCATCCTAGTGCTGAGCATCCTAAACTGGTGCGTGGACATTTCTGTCCCATTAAACGGAAAGCAAACAGTACCAAAAGGGATAGAGGGACTTTATTAACGCTACAAGCACGCCATCAGTCTCTTGACAGTAAATCTGAAAATGCTAACATTGATTTAAATTCCATACTAGAGAGAGAATTCAGTGTCCAGAGTTTAACATCTGTCGTTAATGAGGAGTGCTTTTATGAGACAGAGAGCCATGGAAAATCATAGCGCTGACTCTGAAATTTAAATTTTAATCCACATATGGTTTAAATGGCTCATTTTGCTTTTCAACTAGTGGTAAAATGGAAATTGCCGGAAAACTACTAACTTTGGTTTTGTGCACTATATGTTTTCCCACAAAAGAATAGTTGTAAAGGTTTAAGTTATTTTAATTTATTGTATATCAGAAAAGTAGATTAAGCTGGTCAAAATATGTAAATTACTTAGTTTATATCCTTTTTTGAGCAGGTATCAAAATTATTTGGTGTCTTTAAAATAAAATTGCATTTTAATTATTTTAAGTTATGTGAAAAAAGTAAGGTGGGAAATTTGTGATTAATTGTTTTTTAAAAGATCAGCTTTTTTAATCTTCTGGGCATTTTCTTTCAGCTGTTTATCTTTGCTTAATTACACTTCAAAGTTATTTTTAAATGTGGTTTAGGGGCACAATGTGCAAGAATTTCATTTTTGTAAGGTTATAAGAGATGCTGTTTATAATAAACATATATATATATAAATATATCTATGCAGTATATCTATTAAAAGAACGCTTGTACTTTAATCTTATTTGATTGTATTTATTTTCTCTATCAACCTGTACAGTAAAAGAAAAATAAGTCACATCTGGGTACTGGTATTTTTATTAACACTTCTTCCTGAAACATTATCACTTTGAATAAGTCTTCAGATAATCTGTGTAATGCAGTATCTCTATCCCAAACAGAGTAAATGGAAAAAAAAATCCACATCTGAAATTTGACATTATGAACTTAAACATTATACACATTATTTATAGTCCAAATAATAGTTATATATAATCTAAATCAATCATTATCACCATCTGTATCCTTTACACGTTTTTTGCTTTTGTTTTGCCTGAGTTCATCCCTGAAATTGTAGGTGAAAAGATTTGGGTCTTCATCACACATTTTCCTGTAGACATCACAGAGGTTCTTGAAATGCAAGATGGAGAGCTGGGCTGGCCGTAAAGTAGGGTCCACATCAGCCAACATTAACATTTTTTCAGTGTTTTTTGAGCGGTCAGCCTGTGGGAATAGGATTCTGAAGGAAGGAAAAGGGGGAAAAACGTTTTATTTAGAGATCTTAAATAATCAATATCCTCCCTGCTTCACTGAACTATGAAGAAAATAGGAACCTGGGTGTATGTATTGAAAGAGTTCTTTTCCCTCAGACTGCAGTGTTACTATAAAAATCTTTTACTGTTAGTTAACTACAGACACTTCTAATCTTATTAACCAATATGTTTACATGTAGTAGCCTTTCTGGAGAAAATATTACCCCAACTGTGATGCAGAGGAATTATTTGCTTTATTCTATATGTTCTTCCTCTTAAGTCTTGCTCTGATTAACTTATCTTGGCATGAAGGAGACTGAGAATGGGTCTGGTAACACTGAGTATTTGTCATCCAATAACTAACCTACTAGTTAAGTTTGAAAATACCTATCACTAGAAGGCTGGCCTTCTGTGATGATGTTTTTGGCCACAGCACTTCGCAAACACCTTCTCTAGGTTGTGATCTTAGAGGGCTGAAGAATGTCTATCATCAGGGTTAACCTCTCCCTTTCCTGGCATATTCTCCTTCTTGATTTACTTAGCTGGTCCAATCTTGCCTGCACTCAAAATTAGATGAAGTTATAAACATCTACCTGACTCAATCTGGGGAAGTGTTTTTCTCATTCAGAGGACAAAGACAAGACTTTCCCAGGCCCACGATCAGAGAGTTAGGGAGGTCAGAAACGAAGGAGGAGAATTTGTCTACTTGTGGGGCACAATACTAACTATAGGTTAGAGGAAATAGATTCTGTGATGGGTTGAAACACCCATTCTCACCAAATCAAACAGCTAATATTCAGCCCAGACAAAAATGGACCATATGATGTCGGAAAAGATCAAGAAGGAGAGTAACCCTAGGAAGGGAAAGATAACTAATCAGGTTTAGTTTCACATTTCCTGTATAAGTAGGATTAATTAATAAGAATCTTTCCCCTTTGGTGTGCAACTGTAACTACCCTGCATATTTGTAATAGTAATAAGCCCTCTAAAAATGCCTGGAAAAGTGTGCTGTTTTCAGAGGATAATAAAAGACCTGTTTTCCTCCTAACAGCAGGTTACGTCGGAGGCCAAAAGGAATCCAGGTCTAAAGAACAGAAGTAACAGCAGTAAACATCACTGTGACCGTAGCAAAGTGAGACCTGGTGTTTAGCGGGGAAAGAAGAGTAGCAGGATTTTAACTTGCCAAAGTAAAGTGGTTAAGGTAGTCATGTGATTTTTACAAAACAAAATGACAGTGATGTTAGCTCTACTATTGTGGAAATGAAACTCTGAATTATTCTTTCAGAGTTTGTGCTGATAAGGAACCACCTTTAATTGCCCAAATAATCTAAGCAGGCACTTGGATCTATGGATCCTATCTCTTTATGGCACTCTGAAATGGTCTGAATAAAGAAATAGTCTGTTCCACTCAATGGGATGTTTTTATACCTCAAAATATCTTGAAAACCAGGCAAATCAGATTATTTAGTAAAGCCTTTATAATAATCATGTGATTCAAAAGCCTCTACTTGATCAGTGTAGATAGTTTTCTGGATGCAGATCACAACCCTTGCACATACACTGGCAAACAATCCCCACCAACTTCTGTAGCTAACCTTCTGGGGATGAGCTTCCACAAATTTACAGCAGGAGGGCTTTCCAATCACACAGGCCCAGGCTTCAACAATGCAATTCAATTACTGACGAAAAGCCTATGCTCACTGACTTCCCGACTTGGTAGGATAGTCAATAGAATCTGACAGAACTTATGCTCTGCAGCAAGACTATCAAGAATTCAGGGCTGCCTCCATTTCATGAGAAAGCACTGGGGCTTAATGGAGGAATGGTCATAAACCTTTAGATCAGTCTTTTTCTATAGTGTTGAAATTACTGTAAAAGCATACTTTCAAAGTTACTTAAAAGTGTATGAGTCATTTCGTTAAACCACATGTGCTGAGGCCTTTTTCATTAATCAGTTGGTGTTTTATTTTGCTTTAGATTACAGAGATACTGTCAATTTAAATGTTCCTCTTGAATGAAATTCTGGCCCCAAAATGCCAAGGAGCCTGTCCAAAAAGGGTTGAAAGAAAAGATTTTGGGGGTGGGGTGGGAGGGGGGCTGGGCAATGGGGTTAAGTGACTCGCCCAGGGTCACACAGCTAGTAAGCGTCAGGTGTCTGAGGTCAGATTTGAACTCAGGTCCTCCTGACTCCAGGGCTAGTACTCTATCCACTGTGTCACCTAGCTGCCCCAAGAAAAGAGTTCTTGAAGAAAGACTGAGTTGTACTTAATCTGATGGCTGTCTTAACAGGGAGCTGCATTCTGTCAAGTGGGCTTTTCTCCTCCCTGCCTCTAATGCCTGAAACTGATCTATTGGTGATAACGAGGCACAGAAGAACAGCTCTGAAAGTTCACATCCTTTCTCAACAGACTGTTGAGAACCAGGGCTAACTCTCTGGCTTTGGACAACACTGTAATTTTTTAAAGTACGAGGACATTTTGAGATTCGGGCTTATTTGTTCAACTTTCCCTTCAATTACTAATGAGAAGCTGGAGTGCAGTAGTAATAGGAGTGGTGGTAGCGGTAGTAGTGAGCATTTATATATTGCTTTGCGATTTCATCCTCACAACAATCCTGGAAGAGAGAGATAATATTGTTGTTGAGTCGTTTTCAGTTGTGTCTGACTCTTCATGACCCCATTTGGGGTTTTCTTAGCAAACATACTGGAGTGGTTTGCTAGTTTCTTCTCCAGCTCATTTTACAGATGAAGAACTGAGGCAAACAGAGTTAAGTGACTTGCCCAGGGTCACATAGCTAGAGAGTATCTGACACTGGATTTGAATGCGAGCCTTTCTGACTTTAGGACCAGTATTCTCACTAATATATGTAGCTACCTAAAACAAAACAAAGTATACTATATAGTGAATAGTGTATTGAACTTAGGAGTCAGGAAGAACTAGGTTCAAATCCTGCCCTTGACAGTTATTAGCTGTGTAACCTTGGACAAATCACCTAAACTTCACAAGCCTCAATTTCCTCATCTGTAAAATGAAGATACTGAATCTCATGATCTATGAGCCTTCTAGCTCTAAATCTCTGAGTCTACAAACTTTATAGCCGTGTCGCAGCTTAATAACTAGTCAGCTTGATGACATGTTGTACTAGTGATTTATAACTTGTATTATTTTTTAATTTAAATTCTTATTAGTTATGAGGGCCCACATAAATATTCAAAGCAAGAGAGGTAGCAGGGGACGATGGAAAGCGTACTGGCTGTGGAGTCAGAGGGCATGAGATCACATCTTGACTCTGACGCCAGGTACTTGTGAAACCTCCCTGAGACTCAGTTTCCTCATCTGTAAAATGAAGGGGATGGGCAAGATGGCCTCTGAGGTCCCTTCCAGCCCTCGTCTATGATCCAGTTATCCTAAATCCTAAGAGGGATTAGTTAGAAGGTATTAGATGTAGTATTTCTATAAGGCATGAAGGAGATTAAAAATACGTTAAACATTAGAAGATGAAACATTTGGAGAAGAAATCATTCCAACATTCCAAGTAACTGAATTTTCACAATATACAAGTTTACCCCATTAAGTATCATTTAAAATTTTTTTTTAATGTTTTGGAATCTTTGTGCAACTATCTAGTGTGAATCAGAATATGCTCATTACAATAGTCTTTTACTGATGCCTGAGGATCCTTATTATAAACATCAGTGATTATATACTGTTTCCATGCTCTTAACATCCTCAGGGACTACTGGGGTCCTTTTTGACTCGGTCTGTCTCCTTCCTTTCTATTAGTTTGTCTAGCTATAACAGATTATCTCTTAACATTGGGGGCTTCTACAGTTTATTGTGGGCTGGGAAACTACAATACCAAGCTTGTTAGATTTGTGTGTAAAAAAAGTAAACTGACTATAAGTGAGAGTCTGAAGGGCTCTCAATAAGAAACTGAACAAGTTTGGGCATGTTCATTTGGTGACCTCATTCTGGGGCCTTTTCCCCTCACTTTTAGCTTCTTGCACATGTTCCAGAGATCAGAAGTGTTAATATTCTAAGAAATGTGTCAGCATTTTAAAAATTTGGCTCTGGCTAGCTCAAGTAAATTTTCTCAAGTTTTTTTTTTAAATTTTTTTCTCAAGTTTTATGATGGTAAGATTCAGTTCCTTAAATGAGCTGCTCTTCAAGATTGATACATCATGAATTCTCAACAGCACTGAGGTAGTCATCAAATCTTTGTGTGGTTTTGAACTTTGGACACGTCTGTTATAAGTGTGATAGAAATGACCTATAGATGGTAGTTAAAATTCAAATTGGTGCTTGGAATTCAATTCTCCCAATTTTGACATATAGTTTTTCTACTTTGCTACAGTAATCTTTGTTGTTGTTGTTGTTTGTCCTTCTTTCTGGAAGAAGACCAATGACATCAAGAAGGTGATGCCATGATTTGTAAGTGAAATGGATTTAAGTGAGACAGGGCTGTGCAAAGTCACCAGCTTCACTCTCTCCTCCAGAACCATCTAGGTCCACTGACAAGATATAGATCAGGATGACTGGAGATGGCCCCCTTAGCATATAGTAGGTGCTTAATAAATGCTTATTGACTGAATGACTGATTGATGGAAACCAGGCCATAGATGTTTGCTTTGGCCTAAAAAAGGCAGTGTAACATCGGAGAGCGCTAGAATAAAGAGCCAGGAGAGCTGGTCATATGTCTTATGAAAGTATACTGTCTAAAACTGTAGAACATATGTCACTGGCTTAAACTTTAGTTATTTTGCTGTTAGGAACCAATTATAATTTGTTTCTATTGTGCCCACTACCTATGCTATTATTAAGCTGTAAAAGTACAAAGAAGAAATTTCTTACCCAATCCCATGATGGCAGTATTTCCTTCTGAACTGAAAAGTACTCTGAACAACTTTTTCCACAAGCTTAAATGGCTGATTTATCAGTGGTTGCACCAGAGGAGTGAAATGAACCACTCCCACATCTACCTTAATTGAAAGAAAAAAGAATTGATTTTGAATAATCTTAGGTGAAGACAGAACAATAACCCTGAGGAAGTTTCTCACTATTGTACCAAGTGCCTCTCAAAATGTATTTATTTTCTCAAAAGCACAAAAAATTCAGGTGTTAAATTTTAATCTCTTCTAGACATAAAATGCTACATTAGCACTCGAGATGATTCAAACAAACGAGAGCCCAGTGCAGCTATGCCACAATGAAATTCTCTAGACAAATATTTGATAATTACCTTATTTCAAAATGGCATTTTAACATTTGTGAAGGTTATCAGATAAGGATACCTAAGCTTTTGAATTAGCAAACAAAGTTATTATAAGCAGCTACTGACACTAAGGGCTATACCACAAATCTAAATATGGAGAAGAAGGTTGGGAGTCTGGGAATCAGTGCACTCTAAAATCCCAGGAAGAGAATCAATTACATCAATTTAAAGTTTAGGCACTAATATTGGTTAATTAGCTGGACTCTGCTCAACAATTCAGAATGCGTGGTCAAACATTTTTTTCTGAGAGCAACCTTCATGGTCCTCAGAGGGCATAAACTACAGGATTCTTCAAAAGATTAGTGGAAAATGGTGTCACAGAAAGAATACTCGATGAGGAAAGCAAGAGACTTCAGTTTTAATCTTGGGCCGCCCCACTTAGTATTGCTGTGACCTTGGACAAGACACAACTTCTCTTAACCTCAGTTTTCTCACAAGTTAAGGTTGGGCTGGATGATCTTGAAGGAACAATACGTGACTGGGGTAGGGGTGGTATAAATAAGGTAGATAAAACCCTATAAAACATATGGCCTAAATATTGTCTACACAATTTATAGAAGCTGATTAGAAGTGATAATGCATTGACCCCAAATGTGTGACAAATTTGTCAGCACAAACACTTTTGGTTACAAATAGCTAGATCACACATAGTTATCATAGGTTAGTCATAAGCAGAAATTCTAAATATTAATCTTGAGCTTGAATTAATATCTCTAATACCTAGCACAGTGCCTTGTACGTAGGGAGTACTTAATAAATACTTGCTGATTGACTGGTTTTCTCAGCACTCAGCCCTGTGATGCAATAGGCTCAGAGGAAGTAGTGTTCAGGACTACATAGAAAACACACATTTCAAACTTCAAATCTTAGGTTAAGCCAGCTCATTTAATGACATTCATCAAGTTAACCAATGTATGTACATATATATAAAGCACTTGTCATGGGCCTACTACTGTACTAGGTCATCTAGAGTGGTATTTTACAAGCAGTGTCCTGAAGAACGCTGGGTTTAAACCATGGGATTTTGCAAAGAAAATGTCATAAAGGTTTGCTTTGTATGTTCAATGAACACAATGTAACAGTCAATTCGGTGAGTTTTCAAAGACTGGATGAGATCACTGGAAGTTGACTTATTATTGATCAAGAATCAATCAATGAATACTCACAATAATTTATAACAGTACAACTAAGTGAAAAGAGGTCTGTCTCAGCAAGGTTGGTGTAAAATAGTGTCTAGTCACACTCTTATTGTTTAATTACAAATAATTTTGGCTCATTAACCACTATAGATAATTGGATAAAATCTGAAGTTAGAGTTGTTCATTGTTCAATCATTTCAGTTGTGTCCAATTCTTCATAATCCCATTTGGGGTTTCCTTGGCAAAGACATTGGAGTGGTTGCCATTTCCTTTTCTAGTTCATTTTACAGATGAAGAAACTGAGGCAAACAGGGTTAAGTGACTTGCTCGGGGTCACACAGCTAAGTAAGTATCTGAAGCTGAATTTGAACTCTGGTCTTCCTGACTCCAGGCCTGGCACCCTTATCCACTGTCACCTAACTACATAAGAAATCAAAAGAATTAAATACTAAGACTCTAATAATGAAACAAACATACATGAAACTAGTACCAAACTACAAAAGAATGTGGCAAAACATCACAGCTATCACAAATCTAGGTTTACCGTTAGTTACCCTGATGCAGAGTGTCTTAGATTATTACATTACTAAAAATAGCTTGTTTTGTTGTTCCAGCAAAATCATAAAATTATTTACAAACCATATAGTGAATTTTAAAATAATTAAATTTCAAGCAAAAATATGATCTGAAGTAATCTCATGTTCTCTTTTATTGGCTTAGATAATTAAGAAAAACATGAAGACATTAATACCTTTTAAGGTCAGCTATGGCATCCAAAATATTTTACGTGTAGTTGGCACTTGATTGAGTTGAATGCAATAATATTTGCAATTATAAAACAACTATTGATAGTAATAAGATCCATCTTACTGGATAATTTATAATGTAGTTATGGTCAGACTATTTATTAAGCAAGTTAAAATAAGTAAAAAAAATTTTTACCTTATATTATTTAATATCATTAATAGTATATTTAAAAAAAATTATTGAAACAGTTTATCTAAAGCATTTTGCCACACTTTTGCTTAAAGTAAAGCACTGCATCACTGCAAAGCTGTTGGAGAACTACTCTGAGACACAAAAGAATTGTAAGGTAAACATGAGACATTACATAATGAAGTGCTGAACTGCATTAGTGATATTTTAGCTGAAGTAAAATCCCTCCAATTTCACTACCTTACTACTGCCCAACTTGAATGAATGTTCTCTTCGGGTCAGACTCTTTTTACTGTCATTCCCTCTCCAACTCCCGTATACTCTATATTTATTACTTTGCCATTCTGTTTAGTTTGAGGGAAAGAAATAAACTGGTATCTTTTAATGAAAAATAAAGGCTGGACTTCCAAACTTCTCCTCAGCAGGGATCCTTTTTATTCCAGGCCAGAAACAGAAAGTATGGAGAAAAAATTGTTACAGCCCTTTCTGCCCAGCTGGTAGAGCTGCCTGTGCCCAAGATTATGTACTACCATTAGGATATAGTTACCATGGTCACCTTCCACCTTTGGACTCAACTTCTATGGCAGCAATTTTCCTTCAAATATTAAAGGATATAATAAGCTTACCTATCCAGCTCTAGTATGTTTTCTCTTGCTCTCCAATTTATAATCTTAAGGTGGAAGGGCTTCTCTACTGCTGAATCCTATTTACACACACACACACACACACACACACACACACACACATTGTTTTAAAACAGAGTTATACTAGTGGCTTCCACATAGAAAGTTATCAGCATAGATGCTCCTAGGATCATCTTTCAATTAATGATTGCTGCAAAGAGGCAAATTGAGGCTTGAACTGAGGAAAACCTTTCTGATAATTAGAGCTGTCCCAAAGTGTAAGAAGGATATTACATTTTGCCTCCCTTGTGCCTAGGGAGGGGATGATTTCCCTGGGATAACCACTTGTAGGACCTGCTGGAAAGGGGACTCTTGCTTAGGAAGGCTATCAGGTGGTCTGAATTGCCTCAAGAGTTGCCTTCCATCACCGAAGTTCCGTGCTTCTGTGACTAATTCAAAAATGACTCTTGCTAAGACTGTGAAATATACAAAATAAGTTAAAGCTCTGGATGATGGACACTCAACTTCAACATATTCTATTTTGGGAAAGTGGCTAACCTCTAGCAATCTAAAGTACAAGAAAACTGCTTACTGTATGTGATAAAAGACAAGAATCTTTTTACACCTGCAAGTTTATGGTAAGAGTGAAATTCTCATTCATTTCCATTAGTCTTTTAACCACCTAACTGCTGTTAATAACCATAAAGCTACCCAATATTACAAAAGCAATATTACAAAAGCAAGCAAGTTTTTTCTGGTGCTGTACAATGGCTATAAATTTCAGAGTGAAAAACAGAGGCTAAAATTAAAATTTTAATGGAATTGTCAATTGTTAAGCTTTTGCAGGTTTGGAATACGTACAAACTATTTTTCTTGCCTGTCTCAGGACCCCAGTACGTGTGATAGTGGAGATGAACCATGAGGTGATAAACAGACAAAAATAAAATATCTATGTCCCCTAGGGTGAGACAATCTAAAACTAGTGCTCTCTGTAACTACAGTATCATAGTTTCCTTTGGATAGTATTAACATTTCATAATAAGGGAAAAGGAATCAAGAATGGCACATAACATATGTATATATTTGTCTACTATGACCTTCAAACAAATAAACAGCCTACAATTTATGTCCTGGTTGGGCAAAACAAGTCTAGATCTCCAGGATCTCTCCTTTAGGTATCAGAGTAGAATAAATGAAGTTCTAAATATTTCCTGAAGAATCTAGTTTACTAAGACTATACTGCAGAAAACATTTCCCATGGTGACAAAAGGGAAAAAAAATTTAAACCGTAGACATAATTCAAAGCAGTACAGAAACACTGAAGCCACTTTTTTCTAAGTGCTATTGACCAGATTTGGAGATCTGAATTTCCCAGAACCAAAATCACGAGGCACTTTTAGCAAATAATCCGATCAAAAATGTCTACAGAATCCTCTTTATCTATTTGAAAGAAATTATGGACTCAATTTGAGCGCTTGTATTAACTGCTTAGAAGAAAAAATCAGTAACGAATTATAAGTGTGTGATTAAAGCATAACATTAAAATCAAATCAACGCTGTAAGTTATCTAAATAGCCTCTGCTCAATGAATAGTGGCACAGAGGCATTTCAGATTTTCAGGTTCCAACAAATCATGTTATAACAGTAACTCCCTCCTTCCTCCCTGCCTCCCCTTTCCTAATTCTCCCACAGCTCAGAAAATGAGCTAGAGAACCTGGTATTTATCTTTCAGCATGATCAGCAGTTTTTACTTCTCAATTTGATATGCTATTCTTTATTTGCTACACAGCGAGCTAACTTGTTAGAGAGCTTTATCACCAATTCAAAACACTTTGGAAAAACGAGCTTTGTTCAGTTGACTTTCCTTCTTTGTTCCTAACTGGGCCCAGTTCCTCTGAGGAAGATTGATGAGAGTACAATCAAGGTCTTGAAGTATATCCACAACAGGTATGGGAAATTTATAAACCACTGACAATATGACAGATTTTGAATCATGCTTTAGAAGCCAG